GCACCATGAGCGAACCACACAACAACCACAGAATGACCAAAAGTTGGGATATAGTAGGCATGGAACATGTCATCCACACATAAACTAAGCAGAATATCACACACTGAGAGCACCATGAGAAAAACCACAGAATGATCAATATTTGGGTTAGGAGGCGTTTGAGTCACTTGTATCCCCCAGCACCTCCACTATGGCAGAGTCAGATTCGTCTTGGAAATCCCTTTCCAGGCGGTGGAATCTTCATCTCATGGCGCGGCATAACCGACAGACCTAATTCAATTCAATATAGGTTATTCACTCTCATCAGTAAATACTCTGGAGGAGGAGGAGGAGGATGACGGAGAAGGTTCACTGGAGGAGGAGGAGGAGGAGGGTTCACTATTCTTCCTCTTTAGGGAGCTCATGAGCCAAAACTACTTTGGGCGTGCTGTCTTGATGATATATTTGGTTGCCTGGTGGTTTTAGACGAGTTCGTGCTATTTACAGTAAAAAACAAGTGACTGTGGACCATATATTAGATACTTGTTAATTTGTTTGCTGTGAGAAGAATAAGTTGCATTTAAAATATGAACTGCAATTCGGCATGAAGGGAGGACGTTTCTTAAATGCAATAAATGAGTAGGTTAGTTGAAGTTATTTGGATGTTCTTGAAGTCTGACAATAATTCAGAATACAGTAGATTATTAGGACGTGACATGCAGTTCAGTCCATGAAACTAGGTACAAACAAGGTTAGAAGGAAAGTGGTTCAATTCATGAGAAGAAGAGATAACTAATTTCTATGGAAAAATAATTACCATAAAAATAATTCAAAGTAAAATATGTATTTGACAACAAATAAATAGAATAAAAATAATTTGAAAACCTACGCATACAACTAGTTTATTAGGACGTGACGTATTGTTTAGTCCATGAAACTAGGTAAAAAGTCGGTTAGAAGGAAAATGGTTCAATTCATGAGAAGAAGAGAAAAACTAATTACTTTGGAAAAATAATTACCATAAAAATAATTAGAAGTAAAATATAAAGACGACAAAAAAAAATAGAATAAAAATAATTAGAAGAAATACCCAAACAGTATATGTTTTACATAAACAGAAAAAACCCACCCAAACACAAACTTCAACTGACACTTGAAAATTGCACACACAAACGGATTTTCTCACAAACACATAACCAATATACTCTCTTCAGCTGTATAAATATTGTCTCTTGGTTGGATGCTTTTCATGGAATGACTGCAAGGCTATTTATAGCCAAAAACTATACTTAGTGTCCAAGTATATTACAAAGCTTCTTTTGGAAGCCAAATAGGTGGCTGGCCAAGAATAATTGTTGTTGACCAACAATTTCAAAGCTTCCTTTGGAAGGTAATTTGGAAGTTTCACCATCCCACTACTTTGATGACATGGCAATACATTATTGCCATGTCATTAATGTATTTGCATTAGTGGATCAGTTGAGAATTATATTCGGATAATTTTGCTTTGGGCCTTGGAAATCGTCTTACAAATTTATTGGGAAGTTTTCTATAAACTACTAAGGATATTATGTATAAAAACCTAAGGATAAAGTTATCATATATATTTGCATTAGTGGATCAGTTGAGAGTTACATTCGGATGATTTTGCTTTGGGCCTTGGAAATTATCTTACAAAATTTTTGGGAAGCTTTCTATAAACTAGTAAGGATATAATGTATAAAAACCTAAGGATAAAGTTAACATATATATTTGCATAAATGACTCAATTGAGAGTTATATTTGGATGATTTTCTTTTTGGCCTTGGAAATTGTCTTACAAATTTATTGGGATTTTTTCTATAAACTAGTGATGATATTATTTATAAAAATACAGTGATAAATAGAACATATATATATATGCATAAATGATCAGTTGAGAGTTATATTTGGATGATTTTCCTTTGGGCTTTGAAATTATTTTACAAATTTATTGGGATGTTTTCTATAAACTAGTAATGATATTATCTATAAAAATTTAAGGATAAAATTAACGTATATATTTGCATAAATGGCTCAGTTGAGAGTTATATTTGGATGATTTTCCTTTGGGCCTTAGAAATTGTTTTACAAATTTATTGGGATCTTTTCTATAAAATAGTGACGATATTATTTATAAAACTACAAAGATTTATAGAACATATATATTTACATAAATGATCAGTTGAGAGTTATATTCGGATGATTTTCTTTTGGGCTTGGAAATTATTTTACAAATTTATTGGGATGTTTGATATAAACTAGTAAGAATATTATCTATAAAAATCTAAGGATAAAGTTAACATACATATTTACATAAATGGCTCAGTTGAGAGATATTTGGATGATTTTTTTTTGGGCCAGGAAATTGTCTTACAAATTTATTATGATGTTTTTTATAAACTAGTAAGGATATTATTAATAAAAATGTAAGGATAAAATTAACATATATAATTGCATAAATGGCTCAATTGAGAGTTATATTTGGATGATTTTCCTTTGGGCTTTGAAATTGTCTTACAAATTTATTGGGATATTTTCTATACACAAGTAAGCATATTATCTATAAAAATCTAAGGATAAAATTAATATATATATTTGCATAAATGGCTCAGTTGAGAGTTATATTTGAATGATTTTCCTTTGGGCTAGGAAATTGTTTTACAAATTTATTGAGATGTTTTTTATAAATTAATAAGGATATTATCTATAAAAATGTAAGGATAAAATTAACATATATATTTGCATAAATGACTCAGTTGAGAGTTATATTTGAATGATTTTCCTTTAGGCTAGGAAATTGTCTTACAAATTTATTGGGATGTTTTTTTATATACTAGTAAGGATATTATCTATAAAAATTAAGGATAAAATTAACATATATATTTGCATAAATGGCTCAGTTGAGAGTTATATTTGGATGATTTTTCTTTGGGCTTTCAAAATTGTCTTACAAATTTATTAGGATATTTTCTATACACAAGTAAGGATATTATCTATAAAAATTTAAGGATAAAATTACCATATATATTTGCATATATGGCTCAGTTGAGAGTTATATTTGGAAGATTTTCCTTTGGGTCTTGGAAATTGTCTTACAAATTTATTGGGATTTTTTCTATAAACAAGTGAGAATATTATTTCTCAAAATACAAGGATAAATAAAACATATATATTTGCATAAATGATTAGTTGAGAGTTATATTCAGATGATTTTCTTTTGGGCCTTGGAAATTGTCTTACATATTTATTGGGATACTTTCTATAAAGTAGTAAGAATATTCTCTATAAACATCTAAGTATAATGTTAACATATATATTTGCATAAATGGCTCAGTTGAGAGTTATATTCGGATGATTTTCCTTTGGGCCTTGGAAATTGTCTTACAAATTTTTTGGCATACATTCTATAAACTAGTAACGATATTGTCTATAAAAATGTAAGGATACAGATGACATATATATTTGCATAAATGGCTCAGTTAAGAGTTATATTTAGATGATTTTCCTTTGGGCCTTAGAAATTGTCTTACAAATTTATTGGGATTTGTTCTATAAACTAGTGACGATATTGTTTATAAAAATACAAGAATAAATAGAACATATATATTTGCATAAATGGATCAGTTGAAAGTTATATTCGGATGATTTTCCTTTGGGCCTTGGAAATTGTCTTACAAATTTATTCGGATGTTTTCTATAAACTAGTAAGGATATTATATATAAAAATTTAATGATAAATACGACATATATATTTGCATAAATGGATCAGTTGAGAGTTATATTCGGATGATTTTCCTTTCGGCCTTGGAAATTGTCTTACAAATTTATTGGGATGTTTTTTATAAACTAGTGACGATATTATTTCTAAAACTACAAGGATTTATTGAAACATATATATTTGCATAAAAGGATTAGTTGAGAGTTATACTCGGATGATTTTCCTTTGGGCCTTGGAAATTGTCTTACAAATTTATTTGGATGTTTTCTATAAACTAGTGACGATATTATTTATAAAACTACAAGGATATATAGAACATATATATTTGCATAAAAGAATCAGTTGAGAGTTATATTCGAATGATTTTCCTTTGGGCCTTAGAATTTGTCTTACAAATTTATTAGGATGTTTTGTATAAACTACAACGATATTATCGATAAAAATATAAGGATAAATAGAATATATATATTTGCATAAATGGATCAGTTAGTTATATTCGGATGATTTCCCTTTGGGCTCGGAAATTGTTTTACAAATTTATTGGGATGTTTTGTTATAAACTAGTTAGGATATTATCTATAAAATTTTAAGGATAAATCTGATATATATATTTGCATAAATGGATCAGTAGAGAGTTATATTTGGATATTTTCCTTTGGGCCTTGGAATTTATCTTACAAATTTATTGGGATGTTTTCTATCAACTACTAAGGATATTTTCTATAAAAATCTAACGATAAATGAAACATATATATTTGCATAAATGATCAGCTGAGAGTTATATTTGGATGAGTTTCCTTTGGGCCTTCGAAATTGTCTTACAAATTTATTACGATGTTTCCCATAAATTATAACGAATATACGTATTTAAGTATTAGGATAACTGCTACATATGTAGTTGCATAAGTGGATCACAATGTTGTTGTATTTGTAATCTATTAATTTGGCCCTTACAAATATTTTCAATGCATTTGCCTCAATTGAAATACTTGAGTTACACTCATATGTTAAAAGTATGCTCAATTGCATAATAAATGATCAAAACCACTTATTATGCATTTTCATAATACAGAACATTATACAAATTTCCCCAACCCCCCGATATTGTTATAAAAGCCACCAACAATTAAGCAGAGTTAAATAAACAACAATATAAAAACAATGTGAAATACATACTGTAATGATTGTCAAGTATGAAAGAGTCATTGAATTGGTCGATCCATCTCCGCGATTAGCATTTCGGACGTTCGCTTGACACTTGATTCACAATTGTTTAAATCTGCTATCTTTCAATATGATCATACTGCAAAATCCAATCAAATTAGATACCATGACAACACAGAAAAAAAATGAAAAACAAAAATATAGTGGCATGAATTGAGTTCATGAGGACAACTACGTACTTTATCAATTCTGAAACCATCACTGAAGTAATCATCATATGAATAATTGGTATTGGAATTGCATAAATCGGCAACAAAGGTCTGTAACATTTTATATTTTTCCTTATATATTATAAACAATTAATTAAATAATTATGCAACTTTGTATATTGCAATTTATATGTTGGTTCCATCTTAACAGCAAACTTGCCTGGTTAGTTAATGGAGTACTTACTTCACCAGGTGGTTGCGAAAACCTTATCTGATGCATTAAACGTTGTGGTGGCGTCATATAACTGTCTTCATTAAGAAATTCAATTGGAATTTCACAGCCCTACAAAATAAATGTTGTAAAACATTTAACCAGATAATAACTTGTAGCCATAATGAACATGTTAAGCAGCAAGGGAAGCTGTCAGACAGAAAATTGAAGAGGTGGATTGGGCTGGCTTATGTTGGTGTGGGGCTAGACCTAGATGGTCTATTCATTCAGTCTTAGTTATGCAAAGAGCAGTTATTAGTTATTACTTAACAATTCTTCCAACAACAACCCTTTGCATTGGCAGCAAGGTGTTACTTATGTTATAAACAAGTTCAAACAAATTGCATGATAAGATTGCAAGAGCACCTAAGGATCTAGCTAAATGTATTTTATGGGAAGTTTTAAATGTGATGGGACTTCATCTCCAAGACATTTTGTAACTTTCCATTGCTTTGTAGTTTAGGTGTTTGAGAGGGAAACATTTCTAGGACTATGTTTTGTTTTAATGAGGGTATGCCATCATTTCTCTCCATGTAATATTTGTTTATATTCAATACACTCGTATCATTTAGGGGGAAAAAAAAAAAAAAAAACAAATGTTATGCAATGTGTTGAAAATAGTTATGTAACAATACTCACATTCACTAACACGTGGTAGGGGATTGTTCCACTATGAGTACTGGCACCTGCCTCTCCGGATTGAAGGCCTTCATTGCAATTCTACAACACAATTGTGAGAAGTATTACGTATGCATAATTTAATACACAGAACTGGTATTACTTATGAAACTACTTGGAAAACAGTAAGGGGATAAAAGTACCTAAAGCTGAACTGTTCGTTTCATTGATTTTGTCTTATTGTGACTCTTTAGCTCCATGGTCGGTTTTAACCTCTTAAATTTTTCTTTCCGTGTATCTTTACACATGAGGCCATTGGAGATTTTGTCAGTAATTATGTTGCTCTCGTGATATTGGTTTTTGCCTTTACCACCACTATAAATTGCATTCCTCCCAGCAAACCTACGCCTACAACTTGATTGGGTAATTTTTTTTCCACTCCATGGCTTTTACTAACAAATCATTGTATCCGTCCTTATCCTCTGATTAATGGATGAAATTTCAGTCATAGTATGAAAAAGTACCCTGTGCCGTCTCCTAACCTCAATTTTTGGTTCAGCATCGACAATCACTTCACCGGAAAGATTTTCCTCCAAGCTGCCATCTCTTACACTTTTAGTCCACCTTTTTAATATATATCGACGAGGCAATGTATTGGCGAACATGGATTCATTTAGGATTTTCAAACTATGCCTGCACATAATACTCTCCTTTTCAAATTTACAACAAGAACATAACAATTCATCTTCTGATGTCCTCGTCACGTCGCATTGCATTCCATCCTCACCAACGACTTTGTAAACACAGCCTCCGTTGCCCTCAATGGGACTGCAACCAATGATCCTCTGACTGGCACTAGCTGCTAAGAACTCCTCCTGGAAACTATTAAATATAACCTTTGTGTACAGGTTTGCCGCCTGTACTAATATGTTACAGTTTGTTTTCAGTTGAGGTAGATTGTGGAGCAACCCATTCTCGGCTACATACTCCTTGTAACGCTTGTCGGACAACAGCCTTTCAAAGTGTGTGAAGAAATCTAGAAGAATTAGTTGACTGGATAAGTATGCCTTTAAGCAACTATTGAAGCTTTCACTCAGTTGTGTGCTGTGGATACCCGCAGACCAGGCACGCTTAATAAATGTCATGGCCCATCTATGTTTCAAACCTAACAGATTTGTAAACCATATGTTACCAACAACGCCATATTCCGTTATCATTAAATTCCATTCCCTGGTAAATTCTTCCTCCTCCTCAATTTGAAACATTAATTTTGATAACATCTTCTTAAAGCCTTGCGCACGTCTAAACAAGAACCCTAGATGCTTCTGTGCATTTTGCATTAGGTGCCAAACACACAAATAATGTTTTGTCCCTGGCATCACCTGCAAAATTATTTTCTATAATATAACAATGTAATAATGCAAAAGGAAATACAAAGAGTGAAGATCTGAATTGAAATCACCTGCATCAATGCCTTTCCCATTGTAGCATCTTGATCAGTGAAGATTGTCTTTGGCGCTTTACCAGACATTGCTTTCAAAAATATTTCAAACAACCAGATAAACGACTCTGCAGTCTCGTCATACATGAACGCTACTCCAAACACAGCAGTCTCCCGGTGATGATTCAACCCCAAGAAACTTCCAAATTGACGGTTGCCATGTATAACTTTGTATGTTGTGTCAAAACTTACTACATCTCCAAAATTGCAATAATCAACTATCATTTTTGAATCAACCCAGAATATGTTAGTGATCATTTGATCACTATCCAAGTATGAAAGAATAAAAGAAAGATGGATCTTCATAAGACTGAGTCTCAAAATAATTCATTAACCGCATCTCCATATTCGAGCTTAGTTTGTCTTCGGGTCCTTATATGGTTTAGCAAATCCAACTTCATGTACCCGATTGATTCTTTTCCACCAGCTTGCCTTCCCATCAACTCATATGAATTCCGAGGGCTTATTCCTGATTCAGAAGCCAATTCCAAATCAATGGAGTGAACGCGGCTAATTCTATGTTGCGACGGCAGCATGTGCATGCATTCATCAATCATCAATGGGTGGTTGTGGCTTTCAACAAATTTTGTAAATTCAAACTTATACGTATACTTGGAAACTTGAATAAGCATTCGAGCAAGGCAACCAGTTCGTGTTTCGGCCCTGGGAGTCTTCGTATTACTGTTCCGAATGTCGTCACCCCTGAAACCCTCCTTGCAACATGTTAACAATCTCGATGACAGTTTACCAGTCTTCTTGCTCTTATTAAAATACTCTTTGCGAATGCTAAAATCGACTCGACCGACATATGAATTATAGAAATCATATGCCTCTTCCTCAGTTTCAAACTTCATACCTATTCTTGGTTTCCATTCTACGACATCTACCCCTGCAATAGGAGAGTTTTCTGTATATGTGGTGTCTTCGATGTTATTTAATACCTCTTCTATTTCAATAATTCAAATCAGAAACCTACAATTAAAAAAAAAAAAAAAAAACATTTCAACGAAGGGCTATGTTGTAGGTATGAATTATTAATTGGAAATATTTTTTGACCTATTAACATAATTTAAGATAGTATAATGTATCAGAGAACCAACTTCCTCAACTGCACATATTTTAATTTTGCTACGAATAACAAAATAAATGATTTATTTCACTTTTTCCAACTCAAACATGCATTTCTAACCTTTTTGGGCCTTCTATTTTAATAAAAATTACAACTATGTTCAATTATTCATTTAACTTTTTCCAAATCAAACATGGACTTGCAAACTTTTTTCGGCTTATTTTAAGAAACATTACAACCATGTTAAGTTAGGAGTATAAGAAGAAATAACAATAAGAATTGGAAAAACATTTCCATGTCAAGAAATCAAGAGTAGTAGTGTGATGTAGCTAATCATGCAACCAAACAACATCCCAACTAATTTGACAAATTAAAACAAAGACAAACCAACAAGAAACAAATATTAAAGAGAGAATATGAAAAAACTAAAACATTTGTAGAAAGTGCACATGTTATTAGCCAAAGATAACTTTACCAACAGACTAGAACAAAAAAGAGCATAAATTTTTACCCAAAACTGAAAACTAAATAGATAAAAATTAATAATAATAATACTAATAATAAGAATAACCAGAGAACATCATGAAAGCTACCACACAGATAGTAACAGAGTTAATTCAGTAAAATAAGAAAAGGAATCCAAACATCATGATCAAAGAAAATACACTCCAAATAGAATTATTATTAATGAATAATCAGAAGCAAAAAAATAAAATAACAAGTTAATTTCTCTTATTTTAAAGAAAGATACATACCCCAAAGACATAGACAAATCCATTGGAGTAGCAAAAATAATGCCTCTATCTCTCACAAGGACTAAAACCCATGACCTTTGGATAGAGCTACATTATTTTCTTTGCAACTTCAAGTCCCAGAGAACCCATTCTTTCTCTCTCACACACACACACATAGAATGACACAGTGACTTTTTAATTCAAAACTTAGTGATCACTTCTTGACAAAGGTGAAGAAAAAGGGGAAGATAGAAATAAAGGGTCAAAAGGACATGAACAAGCCAACTATCAATGTCAATAGACATGAGAAGATGGACACTTTCAAATCCAAATCACTGTTACAACCAACAACAACAGAAGGTTGTGGTGAAAAGAATCTGAATTGCTTCTCCTTCACTCTTTTATTAATATATATATCTAATTTAGTCAAGAAGCTTTTTTTAGTTCATTGTTTATTTGTTTCCTTACTTTTCCCATTTGTGTAACTGACAATGATGAAATGTGGGAGCATTAGTTTGTGGGAAATGATGAGAAGGACTTCAGCTTATTTTGAAAAACATTACAACCATGCTAAGTTATTTATAATGAACAATCATAACTCTCAATGGAAACTTACATTTCATTCAATGGAAAATTTATTCTAACATATTAAATTGGAAGTGTAAAACCTTCATTTCTTATTATACAGAATATCCCAAATATATTGTAGTGTTTATCACGAATAAAACACTGCATTACAAGAATACATTGGAATTTTTATTCTAACATCTTAAATTGGAAGTTTAAAACATAATATATAATATAGAATATCATAACTTTTTCACAATTTAATAATATAATTTTCACAATTTCTGATTCAATTTTTCACAATTTAATAACACTTCAAGAATAACCAAACAACACGAATGAAACACAATGTCATACGATTCACAAATTCACTTACAAAACCAGTACACTGTAGCTTTGTCTTCCTCGACCTTAAATCAACCACACGACACTGCACATTCCTCTTCCCCACCGTTCAATCAAGCCTTTCCAAAGAAATTGTAATTTTGGAAAGAACAAAATTAAGGAAAGCTGGGATAATGTAGGAAAAACCAATTTATTTCTTTCTATATTTTGGGAGAGAAAAAGAAAGAAGATTAAGAATAGACGCTATACCTTCGTCACTGTAGCTTCCTCTTCTCTGACGTTTAATCAAACCTTTAGAAATAAATTGTAAATTTGGAAAGAAGGAAGAAAAATCGTATTTAGAAGAGGCGATTCGTCACTGTAGATTCCTCTTCTCCGACGTTCAACCAAACCTTTAGAAAGCAATTGTAAATTTAGAAAGAAGGAAGAAAAATTGGGAGAGAAGAAGAAGAAAGAAGATTAGACGAAGAGGAGCGAAAATTGCAAATTTGGAAAAAAGGAAGAAAATTTGGGAGAGAAGAAGAAGAAAGAAGATTAGAAGAAGAGGCGCTAAATTTGTTCCAGAATTTCCAATTTGCTGTTTAAACCTGAATTTCAATTTGTGGAATTTCGTATATGTATGTATGTATAATTTCGTCTATGTGTGTATTGTTTGTATATGTATCTGTGTGTATATATACTTTTTTAACCCAAAGTCCTGTTTGGACCTTTTTACCACCGCTATAGTGCCTGAACAGTGCGAACAGGAGGGAACAGATTCTACTGTTCCACAAGAGAGGATTCTAATCCATGTGGAGGATTTGTGAGGTCCAGCTTACAGTCGGTGAGTCGGAATCTTCCTTCCTTTTTAAGTTTTTTTTTTTCCCTTCCTTTTTAAGTTAACAGACTAAATTTGACACACCAACATAACAGCAAATATGTGGGAAAATATAACATTTTTTCATTAATAGTATCACTATTATAAATTGGTAACTGAATCGATATTGGTTATCATATATGAAACCCCCTACCACACTTTACTCTTTCCTCTAACAAACCCCCTTAACTAAGAATTGCCTCTTAAATTATCAAAAAATTGCATTTGAAGGACAAAAGATCATCGAAGTTGCTCATGTACCAAATTGAAATGGCACAGTTTTATTGTTTTAGTGGCATGCTATTGCTGACTTGTCAATTGCAATCTGAACAACCAATGGAATTGCGACAGCATAACACCTTTTCATAATAACTGCATATGCTTGCCAAACACTGCCTTACACTATCGCCAAAAGGTAGTTCCAAACACTGCCTTACTATCTCTCTGTAAAACCTGTATAGAACCTCTCTCTCTCTACACTCTCTTACGATCTCATTTTCCGGCAAGGCAACCAGGGTAGGCGACGACCTGTTTGAGGGCAGCAAACTCGGGCGGGAAAGAAAGGCAACCTAAATCACCGATCAATCGCAACCTCCTGCAGCAGACTTCATCGACCAAATGGGTCTTCAATGAAGTGTAAGCCAACAATAATAAAATACATGGTTCCAATGTATAAACGTTCTTAGAAGACATAACAGCCATCTTCAGCAGTTTGTATTTGAGATCAAATGTTGCAGGAAACGCTCTTCAACCCTCTAAACTGAATGATGTATTTCAAAACTTCTTTCATGTATATATAAAGGACTGTGACTGTTTCTTCAACTCTGCCAAAAGGAGACATATTGGTTCCATCAACCAACACGCGCTGTAAATAAGTAACAATTATAAATTAAACTGTAGTTATATGATACAACATCACATCTCTTAAATATGGATAATTATAAAATCATTTAAAATAAAAGTTAAGATTAATTATTATAAGAAGACCATTTTTTTTTACATTCATCCACTTGGTCTTATAATTATTATTAATCTTTTATTTTGAAAAAATATTTTTGAAACGATGTTGGTGTGCACACTTTTTATTAAATTATCTATATTTAGAAAATCACTTGTTTCATACAACTTGAATGAAGTCCCTTCGGGTATGCTAATATTGGATCAAGGACATCATTATATTATTTAATAATATAGGACTTCAACGGTCACAAACATTAATACACTCAACTTCAAGATTATACATAAATACTGCATATTCTAAACAATAAAGTATTATGTCATGATTTGGTCCTACCGTGTCTCAATAAGGACACATCATGTCTCATAAAGGACACTTATAATTTTCCATACACACGTGTACAAATATGGAAAACGAAATATATTAGGATAATAGAATATAAATAATTGAGATCACAATACAAATGTGTTTATAATAGAGTCAAATATAACCTCACACTAAGTAAATCAAAGATATCAATAAGACCCATATGAGCAACATACTCACTGTATAACTTAGGCGGCAAACCCTTAGTCATGAGATCAGCAATCATTTGTTGTGTACTAATGTGCTTAACAGACACTAATTGGTTCTGAATCCTTTCTTTTATAACAAGGTATTTAATATCTATGTATTTAGATTTCCCTGAACTCTTGTTGTTCCTTTAATATATAACTACAACAAAATTGTCACAGAAAATCATCAATGGTTTATAAATAGACTCTACCACCATAAGTCTTGAGGTGAAGTTCTGTAATCATAGTGCATGACAAGTGGCCTCATAACATGCAATAAACTCTGCCTCCTGATGGATGAAGCTGTTAGTGTTTGTTTAATACATTCCCATGAAATTTCTCTTCTAACCATCATGAAGATAAATTCTGAAGTGGATTTCATGTTATCCTGACAACCAGCAAAGTCAGAGTCTGTATAACCCACCACTTCAAGCATGTCGGTCCTCCTATATGTGAGTAAATGGTTCTTTGTCTTTTGTAGGTACCTTATTTCTATGACGCTCTCCAATAATCCATGCCAGGATCACTTTGGTATCTACCTAGCATACCAATAACAAATGATATGTCTGGCCGTGTGCAAACCTGAGCATACATCAAACTCCCAACTGCAGATGCATAGGGAATGTTTTTCATTTGCTCCAACTCTAGGTCATTTCTCGGACACTAAAATTTATTAAATTTATCACCCTTTATTATAGGGGCAATTCCACCTTTACAGTGTTGCATATCGAATCTTTTAAGAACTTTTTCAATATAAGCTCTTTGTGACAA